CGCTCGCAGCTCCCCGCTGGCCGCCCGGCCCGCGCCTCTCCCCCGCACGCAGGCCCCGGTCCCGCTGCTCCCTCCCGGCCTGCTGCCCGACGGCGGCTAGCCCTGACTCAGCTTCCCCCTTGGCTTCTGTGAAAAACAAAACCGCCGCTTGGGCGAAGGCGGCAGTGCGGAACACGCCGGCTTGCTCGCTTTCGAGTGTGTGAAGTGCGCCTGGGGCCGCAGGCGTTACCTGGTGGTTACGGCTGGCTGCCCGGCGTCTTCCCCGTGGACAGCCCGCCGCGGCGCGTCCGGGTGTGCGCTCGGAGGGGAGCGGGCGCCCTTCCCTTTGTCGCCCCGCGCCTTCACGCCGCGCTGTCACCGCCCAAGCACGGGGGCCGTGAGGGTGACGGCGCTGCTCTCCTGCTGGCGCCTAACCCTGCCTTGTGCCTTTGGAAACAGTCCTCGAAATCCACGTGAAGGAAGCCCTTCAGTGTGATCTTGTCACCCTTCTGGTTGGGCAGCGTTCTGATTCTTCGCCGGCCCCCTTTCTGTTTCCCCTGCTGTCTTCGTTGGTAATTCTGTCTGGGGCGGCTGCTTGGAGAGATCACTCCTTTTCCTAATTCTTTTATTATGGCTCAGTTGGGAGTGTTTGGAAACAGTGAACCTGTGCTGTCCCATCACACCTGAAAGAGGTGGTCGTGGCCTGGGCCGAGAGTGTGGTAAGCTCTGAAGACTCCTGGTGGATCAGAGAAAACCCAAAAAAGAGAGGGCTGAGAGGAAGAGAGCAGTTTCGTAATACTGAGAACACTGGACCCTTTATCTGCTGTTAAATTGAGCATGACTTTCAAGCCATGCCTCCTAATTAATTTAATTCAGTGTCTGGCATCAATAAGTAATTGAATTATAAAAGAATTCAGTGTAACAACTTAGGACATTTTGTTGCTGAAAGGTTCATTGGAGAGTAGAACAGTTCGGTGATTGAAATAGGGATGTTTGAAGCTCACAGCTGGGAATTAAGGGTTAGGTAAGGACTTCTTTATCAGACCCCAGAGAACATGCAGCAGGCTGCTGGCTACCACTAGCACTGTTGCCTCAGTCTTGCTGGCAGGATATTGCACTGATTCCTTCTTGGCTTCCTCTAAATAGGCTCCTTGTTGCTGATGGAAGCAGTGGAACACTGCAGAGGGCTTACAGTTCTGGTGAGAAGGCAGACCGGGAGCACTCAGGCTGCTAAATCTACGGTCAGCTATTACATAAGACTCTAAGGTTGAAAAGGCTGAATAATGTGATTTGGCTTAGTGGGATTAATTCATGCTAAGAAACTTAGGGGATTTATCTACACTTTGTCTTCTGCCATAGTTCTAGTAGCCTCGTAGTGGGAGGCATCAGGTGTAACAGTCTCTTAGGGGTACGGATTGTGAGAGGCCCCCCCCTAGCTTGAGAGAAGGCTGTGACTGGGTCAAATCAGGGATAGTCTGTTCATCTCCATGTAGTATATTCATCTCAGATGCCAAGCTTAGTGTGGTGGCTGCCATCTAAAACTTGATATGCATCTTTGCTTAGGCTGGATAAATAACTGCAAGGCTCTGGCATGTATGGACCTTTACCCTGCACCATGTTTTTTGATAGTGGTGGGGCTGCTGCAGCATGGAAACAGTTCTTGGCGAAGAAACACTTGTCCAGAAAGAGCACAGTAATGAGCACTCAAGAGAATATGGATGAGACCCAGTTGGTGTGCAGAACAACCCTGAAGGGAAGTGTGTGTGTGTGTGTGTGTGTGTGTGTGTGTGTGTACGTGTGTATCAGTGAGGTCGGTAAAGTTGGTATTGTTACATATCTTTATTTTCCTGATGGGTGATAGAGATTATATTACTGTAGTTGGTGTTAATTATATGTAGGGGTTGCATTTTTGGAAATTCCCTCAAATCAAGAAGTTGTAAAATGAGAGGCATATAAGACCACTATCACCTAGAATGTTTGCATAGAGTGGATTTTTGTATCTTATTGATGATAATGTTGGGATTGAAGTGGACCCTTTTGCAGAGCGCATCATGACTGTCACACGCCGAGATATGCTCAGATGGTTGTCAGAGCCGAGTGCACCTCCGCAGATCTGCCTCAGCCTTGAACCCACTCTTAAAGGGTGAGATCGCCACTCTCACCTTCTTTTCAGATTGCCACTCTCACCTTCTTTTCAGATCGCCACTCTCACCTTCTTTTCTGTTTAGTTTTTTTGTCTTTCTTTTGTAAGCACATTTTTAAAACATGTAAAAATCCAGCCGAAGGGTAGAGCAAGCTTTGGTGAGTTCATGCTGTGGTGAGCCACCTGGGAGGAAGAGGAGAGCAGACCCTATCATGTGAAGGAGGAGAAGGTATTGGTAGTTTCTTTGTGGTTTTCTGCAGTTTTACTAGGAGGATCTCTAAAAATTGACAAGCACACGAACCAGATATCCCCTAGAAAACAAGTAGAGGGAACTTAACATGGTGAGTTACACTTTTCTGTATGTGATATGTAAATAATTTCTTATTGGGCTTTAAATGAATGCTTAAAGAACTCATGCTCTTAAATCTTTTCTAGTGTCTTGTGTGGTTGGACCACATTTCTCAAGCATTTGTTGGGTTTTGTAAACTAAGAAATAGAAACCTTAAAAAGGTTCATTATCTCCAGTTTGAATTTTTGTCATCTAGTGTGTGGTTAGGAAAATGCTTTCTTTCATGTGTTTGTAAGGAAGGATAAGATTTGAAACCTATTTCTTTTTTTTTTTAGTTATGAAATGGACTTTTTATTATGAGACAGAGTGACTTATAAAAAAAAAAAAAGTAGCAAATATATTTGGGCAAAAGCCTGAGGGCAGATCTATATTTTTGGTAAGGTCTTTAAGTGGATGAAAACACATAACCTAGGAACTTAAGAAAAGCTTAGTTTGCTAGAGCAAACATAAGTTCTGTAAGGCACAGATGATTATTGAAAATGATGAATTTGTGTTAACTGAGTTTTGGGGGCAAGGGTGGAGTAGAGATTAGCATTAGATGTACAGCACAATTAGTTGTCTGTTAACCACTCTGTTTCTGAGCTGTTAATAACCTTAAAGTCTTTAGGGACGACTTTGTTTTCTTTTTTATTAGAGGGAAAAAAAAAGAGGAAACAAAAAAAAAATAGACTTACAATGCATGTGACACAGGAAAAATTCTGGGACAAAAAAGAGTCAGCGTAATTGCTTATATAAATTAAGGCCGATGAGAAATGAAAGGGTAAGGTACATAATTTTAGAGTTTTAGGGAGAAAATGAGTTTTTAAAAGATTGTGCAATTTTATCATCACATTAAATATCAGCAGAATGGAATGTTACTGGGGTTTTCATTTTCTTACAGAGAGAGCATCATTTTGTATAATTTTAGTGTGCAGCTACAGTGTATATGTGGGGCAGGGATTTGACAAGAAGACCAGTTGGGAAAACTGTTAACCCTTTCCAGTTCTTAGAGGAACCAAAGTAGTTTTATTCTGAACGTATAAATAGTAGTTTCACATCCAAGGTGAAAGTCAGGGTTTTCCTCCATTGCTATTCTCTTTGTTTACTAGGACCAGAAAACAACAAAGAGAAATGTGAAAGTGGGTAAGGATGTCATGGCTGGACTCTGCCCTTTTCAGCTGTTAGAACTCTGAGTCTTGTTTCCTTTAGGCTCACAGCCCTCCTTCAACTCCAAATCCTGCCGTGTGGTATCTCGTGTCTGTGCATGCACTGCCTCCTTCTGTGGTAAAATCTCTCTCTACTGCTCTATTAAAAGGACACTTGTGATTACATTTATCGCCATCTGGGAAATTCAGAGTAATTTTGTCATCTCAGAATCCTTAATATAATCATGTTTGCAAAGGCCTTTTGCCATATAAGGGGACATATTCACAAATTCTGGGAAAAAGGATGTATCCGTCTTTGGGTCTGTTAATCAGCTTACCACTAGTACCAAGGACTTCTGAACTTGTAAGCATGATTCCAAACTACTGGCATAATTCTAAGAACTATACAACTGTAAGATTTAATTTTCTTGTGTACCCTCTTTGTTCTATTTTATATCTAGATGTATCCCAAAGCCTCATATGCTCATAGTGGCCTTTAGGAGGTGATAGATTGTGAGGGTCTGATATCATCAGTGTACTGATGAGTTTATGGCTGGCTGTCATGCTGGGAGGTGAAGCCTGGTTGGAGGAGGTGAGCTGCCGAGGGCATGGCCTGGCAGGGTCCATCTCCCTTTCTCCTGCCTTGATCTCACACTGCTTCCTGCTGCCGTGTCATGAGCTATTTCTCCACAGCCGTAGCCCTCTACTCTGCTGCCCTGCCTTGCATCCAGCTTACTATGGGCTGAAGCCTCTATAGACTGTGAGCCAAAGTAAACCTCTCCTAGGGGCTGGGGATTTAGCTCAGTGGCACACTGCCTGCCTGGCAAGCGCAAGGTCATGAGTTCGATTGCCGGTACCGGAAAAAAACCAAAAAAACAAAAACAAAGTAAACCTCTCCTTTTACTTGTGGATGTCAGGTATTTTGTCCTAGCAGTGAGAAAGTAGCTAAGACATTCTCCCTGCTTCCTCTTTGGTTGTTGTTTAAAAACAAAGTTGAGATATTTCAGTGATGGAGAAAATGTTGATTTGGTTCAACCACAGCAAATTTGGGGTCTGAAAATATGGTAACAAGTTCAATATACTGCGGACATTGTAAGACAAGTGCTAGAGAGGGGCTGTGGATGTTAACAAAATGCTGGTAGGTGGAAAGTAAAGGCCCTTTTTGGACAATGGGAAATCAGGAGGAAGGCCTCAAGATGGGAAACTAAAGATAGTATTCAGGATATAACATAAAATGGATTAGTTGAAACTGGGCATGGTGCATACCTGTAACCCCAGCACACTAGGAAATTGAGGCAGAAGTATTGCAAATTGGAGCCTTGCCTCAGAAAAAGGAAGGAAGGAAAGAAAGAAGGAAGGAGTGAGGGAGAAAAGGAGGGAAGAAGAAGGAAAGAATGAAGGAAGGGGAGGGACACAGGGAGAGCAGCTTAGTGATACAGGTTAGTGCAAAGGCTCTAGGTTCAATCCAGAGTACTTGGGTCAGGGGAGCTAGATGAAGCAGGGGCTGAAGAGAGAGGAAGTTGGTGATTGAGGTTGGAGTGGTAGGCCCGCCCTGTGTATTGCATGGAGGAATTTGAGAGAGGCAGGCAGTGCAAAGGGACCCTACTGCAGAAATGAAAAACCTGAACTAGGGGTGATAGTGTGAATGGAAAGGAGAGAAATTATGTAGAACTTGTAGTAGGCGTTTGGTAAATAAATATGAAGTATGAAGCAAGGAGAGAAAGAGAACTAAAATTGAACTTAAGATTTCAAGTCTGGATACCTAGAACAAGATAGTCATTGATAGAATTGTGCCCTTGCAGAATGCCTGTGTATTTAGTGATTTAGGAAAAGAAGACAAAGCAGTGAAGGGTTGGGCAGAAATACAGGAAAAGAACTAGAGCTATGTGGTGTCTGGGATGTAGGGGAAGAGAGATTTTTAGATTAGTGTAATAGGTTCAGATGCTGTAGAAGCATAGGTTATAGTAAAGGCTATTGATTATGGCTGTGTCAGGGTCACCAGACTACCCACAGACTTGATGATTTGCTTAGAAGTACGAACTGTTACAGTCTAGGTTGCAGTTTGGTCTGGCAAAGTGATACGGAGTAAAATCAGGAAAGACAAAAAGCTCATCATGGGATGAAGTCCATGGGAAACCAGGAGCAAGCTTCCAAGTATCCTCTTCCGGTGGAGTCATATGTGAAAAATGTCTCCAACAGGAGCGCTGACTTGAACCTTGATGCCCATATTTTTTATTGGAGCTCAGCCATGTAGGCACGCAACACCTCCAGGACAGACTCCAGCTACTCAGACTTCACCCTCAAACATTAAGATTTACCATAAATTTCATTGTTAGCCTAAACTGTTTAATCAAACTGAGACCATGTGGCCCAAGGCTGTGGACATGCAAAAAACACTTTCAGCAGGCAGAAAGTAGAAGGATTCAGAGCTCATCTCTGTGGAGCCAGCCATGGGTCAGTCTGAAAGACAAGCCTTTCTTGAAAATGCAGGGTTTGAGCAACCTAGGCCTGCTGAGTTATCTCCTGCGCAATAGCAACTAGGAGGTCTTTGGGAACATTTGAGAATGAAGCTTCAGAGAGAAGTAATGTTAGAAGCCACAGTGCAAGAAGCTATGGAGAGACTGACTGATGGGAAAATGGGTGCAGATGTTGAGAATTATATTTTACAAAGACTCAGGATGAAGGGATAGAAAGATAGGCCCATAGCTTAATAGAATAGTAGCTTTGGATTTTTTTTCTTGAGGCAAAAAAAGGAAAAGATCAGTATTTTGTTAGAAGGAAACATTAGAGACAGGGTTGGGAAATACAAGCATAACAGGTGGCAATTTGAACAATATCTTAGAGACAGTTTTCTGTGGTAGGGAGAAAGACACTTCTTTCTCTGATGAAGAGTGAAAAGGAATGAGGAATGTGGTGAAAAAATGTGTGTGTTGTCAAGTGGCTAGGCAGTTCCTAAGCAGCAGTCCTTGGGTCACCACACCGTACACAGATTAAGCCCAGAGGAGTTGAGAATGGTGTGAGTCAGACAGCCTTGCTCATTGCGCAGCAGGTAGCATGGACATCGTGATCCCATTGGTTCTCCTCGTCCCCTGTCCCATGGGTGGTAGGGCGGTAGCCCAGCTGGATGTGTGCACACAGTAATCTTGAGATCTGTTCACCCTGATTTAAACATTTCATATATAGTGTATATGTGTATCAAAATATCATATCCTGTACATATCAATTAAAAATAAACTTAAACAGAAAGAAATCTTCCAGTATTATAAGGGAGTTACTAGCATTTCTAGTCAGCCTTAGTCCTGCTCTTTATCATGGAGGTCTGGAAACAAATCTCCCTTCTGAGCCAGAGAGAGAAACCAAGGTTGTCTGTTTTGCAAAGGTTCTGTAACAAAGCTCTGAAGGCCTTTGCTCAGAAGACCTTCAGAGATGCCAGACTATGGAGAATTGTCTCTCAAGGCATACACAGAGCATTTATGTGAATTATATGTACATGTATGTATATATTTCTAAATAAAGACATTTTTAGGTATGGAAGATGTGTCCTGTTTGAAACACTGGATTGAGTTAATGTGACAAGATTCATATCTTAACCATTGATTTCCCTAAGAGAGTAGTGCCTGGGCCTTGGCAGGCACTCAGTGAATATTTGTTGAATAGTGTATGATTGAAAAGAATGATTGTTGAATGATGAATGAATGAAGATATTTAAAAGTTGTACTTCTTCCTCTTGAGAAAATGTGGACCCCCTTAATGAAAACTGGAGTTTATTTAGCCTAATGTTCATGTTATTTGAAGTCCATTGATAATACCTATTTCATAGCAAAATGTATCAATCCAACTGACAAGTAAGGAGTCTACTTTAATAATAATATATATATATATATATACACATATATATATATAAATTTTTTTTTTTGGTCTTTTTTTGAGACAGGGTCTCACCATGCAGTTCAGGCTGGTCTTGAGCTCACTTTGTAGCCCAGGCTGATCTCAAACTCTCAATGATCCTCCTGCCTCAGCCTCCAGAGTGCTGGGATTACAGGCATGTGCCACCACGCCCGGTGGTATCAATAAAATACATTTTTAAAAAGATAGTGAAAGAATGGTTTTAAGAAATGTGATAAATTTTAGAGGAATGTACCTTGTTAGGTTTGAAAAATCTTTATGTAGTACACATTTTACTTATGCAATACAAATTTCAATTATAAATAATGGTCTTTAGAATGGTTGCTACCTGTGTTTCTGGGTAATGTCCTAAAATAGTAACTCCTTGCAGGTGGTGCTGATATTTTTTAAAGCAAAGCTGTGTAACTGATGTGCTTGGTCTTATATGAATCAGTATCTGTAACAATGGCTTCCATACACATGGAGTCAGATGACTAGGAAGCAATTTTAATACTCTGTTGGGTTCTTCATAGTGGGGGTACATGCAGGTTTCAGTTGTTGAGGCTGTTAAGCAGTATTTCAGGTATGAAAATGAGAAGGATTTGACTGTTTGCCTTGTAAAGAGGAATAAAACCAGGGTATATGGCGAAAGAAGTATGTAGAGAGGTAAGTTCACCTCAAAGAGATTCATTTGCACCCAGTTCTGTTCTCCGTTCTGATCTGTGTGCTTCTGCCTGCTGCAGAATGAATCAACCTGACGTTTTATCAACTTCTTGAAAAGTGGGGTGAAGTGGTGTGGAACACATCAGAGGGGTGAAGCCGAGCAAATCTGAAGGAGAGCAGAATATTTCATCTCATATCCTGTGCGTCCCCCGCTTCTCCTGGAGCCGGAAGAGGCTGAACTGATGTCCAGTCAATTTCAGTTCGCCTTGCTACTTCGTGTTAGATTGATAGTGATACATTTACAGTAAGGAAACAGCAAGCCCAGGCAGTTACAGTGTCATACAGAGTCACCTGTTTCTCTGCCACTCTGCGGCCTCAGATTCCAGTGTGACTTCCCACACAGTGACCTTCAGGATTTAATATATAACTTTGTAGTTACTGATTTTACGTATATATGTGGTAGTGTTTCTTTGAAATGTCATAAGTTTATGAACGTGTTCCAGTTTAACAACTAAGTGTGGCTAGAAAAAAAATTATGTAATGAAAATCATCTTTGGTGACTTAATAAAAATAGGTGATGGTAAGTGTAAATGCCAGGTAAGTCCTGACTGCTGATTATTTCCTCCTATCATACACATAAACTGAGTGGCTTTTTTAGTATTGTGTGGCTCTTCATATAATAATGCAGTTTTCTCATGAGAAATAAAATGACATTTGAAAGAAAATTTCTAACTTATTAGTATTCCACTCAAATTGAATTATGTGCAGCTAATGATTATTTTTGGATGCCTTCCAGAGAAAGATGGGACCGTGTGCAGAATTCACACAAAAGCTGAAGGCCTTATGGATGTGGATGTACCCTTAGAGTTGGTGTTCCATTTACCGGTCAATTACCCTTTGTGTCTGCCTGGTATCTCAGTTAACTCAGAACATTTGACCAGAGGCCAGTGTGTGACTGTGAAAGAGAAGTTACTTAAGCAAGCAGAGACGCTTTTGCCGGAGCCCATGGTTCACGAGCTGGTTCTTTGGATCCAGCAGAATCTCAGGCATGTTCTCAACCAACCAGAAACTGGAAGTGGCAGTGAGAAGTGTACTTTTCCAACAAGCACGACTGTGGATGATGGATTGTGGGTAACTCTTTTGCATTTAGATCACATGAGAGCAAGGACAAAATACATCAGAACTGTGGAGAAGTGGGCCTCAGATTTAAGGCTGACAGGAAGACTGATGTTCCTGCGTAAAATAATACTGATTTTACTACAAGGAGACAGAAACAGTATCAAGGTGCCAAATTAAGTGTTCAGTGTGAAGCCGGTTATTTTATGCTTAAAAGAGTGTGTCTTTAAATGTGTTGGTGACAATGGGATTGATTAATCATTAAGATGCTTCTGCCTTCCCGATTACCATGTTAATGGGTTTTCAGTTTCTTTTTCAAGAATGCCTAATTCCTAATTGCAACTACGGACTTGCAAAGCTCAAGGATAGGTATATTTTAACAGTCATGCCACTTAATGAAAGTGACAGGTTGTTAAAAAGAAAAAACCTGTCTTTTGTAAAAATGTGTTTGTTTTTGTAATTATCTGTGAAGCTCAACTTTATAAATGTGCACTCAATGTTTGTGCCTATTAATATTTCTTTCCATAATTAGGCATAGCACAGTGTGTATTTGTAGATCGTCTCCAAAATTTGTAACTTACTGATAGTTAAGAATACATTCTGACACTTTTCATTTTGTACCTGTAGTACCTGGAAAGAGAGGCATGTCCCTTATAACTGAGGTTTAGTGTCAGTAGGAGTAGAATCATTAGAACTGTCGGCCTGTCACCTCCTACCTAACTTGTGCTTTCCACCTGACTTGTCTCAGCAGCTGCTTTCAAAACCATCATCTACGTTAGATTTTTCACATGCTTATTCTAAACCCTTCTAACCTGTTTTCTGAGGCACCAGACAAGGAACACTGCTTATTATATTTTAAATCTTAAAAGAGTTACAAATCACTTAAGTTTTATAATTACTGATAGGTTGGATCAGGAGTCATTACAATAGAATGTATTTAAAACAGATTTAGTATGAACAATCTGTAATCTTAAAGGCTTACAGAATAACAGCTGGTTTTGAGTTCTTACTACAAAACTCCTTTGGCTTTTGGTTAACCAGATTCATGCTGGGCTAAGTAGATAGATGAAATAATAATTCAAATTAAACATATATTCTGGTTTGGGTCCTGACCAAGGAACTATGTAACTGAAGGCAATTGGTAGTCTGTCTATAAACTTTGAGCAAAATATTAGCTGACAAAAATGAGACAAATTAAATTTTTTACTCATATTTACCTTAAGGGCTCAAATTTTTCTTTAAGCCAGGTCAGGCATGTTAGGATAAATACAGCTGTTTTGTAAGTATTGTTACTCAGATTGAATCATCAGTTAACAAGCACTTTCACATATTACTAGAGCTCTGCTAATGTAGAGAAATGATACATTTCTAGGAATTTTTTAAAGCTGTCTTTAAATGTCATTTGATACAAATTTCTCCATTAAGTTTTTGTAAGATTGTTTGCTAGGATGGAGAATGTGCGGTAAGTTTATAGATGCCACCAATTTGGAGTGGTGAGTGCTGTGTGCTTGATAACTCCTTTTAGTTGCTGAGGTAGCAGTAGTGGCAGCAGCACCTTAAGCTCATAAGTGGGCTGTAGTATTACATATCGGACATTCCTGTAAGTGCTTTGCATGTATTACTTCATTCTTTCATCACAGCTCCTCCTGGAGTAGGGTCTTGTTATGAGTACTGTTTTACAGAGGAGGTTAACTCATGCGCAGAGCATTTCAGTAACCAGCCCAGAATCAGAGGTAGTAGATAGGCCAGTCCAGATTTAAACTTGATAGTTTGATTATGTTGCTCTTCATTCCTTCATTACCAGCACATTAGTCTGCCATGCATGTAAAACCACTGTGTAACTCTCACTGCATGGTTCAGAAGGGGAGTACTCTTTTAGCATGAAAATAAGCCTGCAAGTTTATGGCTCTTTTAAAACAGACTTAGAAATTCAGAGTAAGATATGTACTTAATGTACTGATTTATCATTTAGGAATATGTGGTTCTTCAGAAAACCTCCAAAGTAGATGTGGACTCAAATGGAAAGAAATGCAAAGAGAAAATGATTAGTGTACTGTTTGAGACAAAAGTACAGACGGAACACAAAAGGTATAATTTAGTACTATTGCAGATGAAAAAGCAACTGAATCGATAATTATACTCTGACAAATCTAGGCATATTCATGAGTTTCTCTTGTATAATGCAGGTTTCTGGCATTTGAAGTCAAAGAGTATTCAACATTGGATGACTTACAAAAAGAATTTGAAACTGCAGGACTTAAGAAGCTTTTCTCCGAATTTGTACTTGGGCTGGTAAAATGAAATTAATGACAAGGAGTTTTTGGTAAATCAGCAATGTGTTTTGTTGTTGTTTTTGCATTGGACTTGGGAAATGGCTAATCAAAATAGTCATAAGGGAGCAATTTTAAAGTTTCCCTGTAGCAAAATCACTGTAATTTCGGGAACAAAAGCCAATTCTGTTTTATGGAATATTAAACATGAAAAGAGCCCATCTATTCTAATGTTTGCTGGGAAGGACTAGGTTCAGTGGATGGAACATTATTTGGAACACAGATAAAAAAAGATGCTGCTAAGAGAGCCCTTGTTTTTGTATAGACAATTTGTTTGGAACGATGCAATTTTCTGGCTAATTTTTTTGTAATTAAATGATTTTTTAAAAAAGAAATTTGTTTTCATATTTACTTTTTTCTATGTTTACATTTTTAGCATTTAATCATGATTTGTCCCCATTCAGCTTATTATGCCTAATGTTTGAAGTTGATTGTTAAGAAAAATATAACACTGATTTCTTTGTGGAATTACATAAATCTCTATTTAAACCAAACCAAAGAAGTTCTATAGAAACTGATTTATAATTGTTTTGTTTGGGCTTCCATGTATTTGGTAGCTAAAGGACTAGAAAATCTATTTAAATTGAAATTTTTATTTGAAAAATGTAACTTCTTGTTTTGTGAGGGGAGAAAAGTTCGCACAAAATGATCTTGGCTTGCTGGAAAGAAGAAATTATGTGGAGACACTATTTTTCACTATGAAATCTTTTAGATCATGATAAAATATATTATGACCTGAACAAAGATGAATTAACAAAATAAAAGCTTATGGTAAAATCTGTAACAAAAAACATGAGGCTGTTGGGCATGGTACTGTACACCTGTAATCCCAGCACTAAGGAGGCTGAGGCAGGAGAATCACTGTGAGTTCAAGGCCAGTCTGAGCTACACAGTGAGAGCCTGTCTCAATAAAACAAAACAAAACAAAAAACAACACCCCAAAAACATGAGGCCATTTGTGACCGAGAAAGGATATTTTTGTGCATGAGGCTACCTGGGCTTCTGAAATCGGAGGTTGAGTCATGAAGAAAGGCCATGTGAATCCCTCTCCCTGAAGCCTGTGAAGTGCACTGATGTCATTATGAAATTACAACGTGGGGAAAGAGTGGGGAAGACAGCACAGCATGCTGAGCAATATCTCTGGACGGTGCTTCTCTGTGGCCATGACGGTTCAGCCTGATTACTGTATTTTCTGGCACCCTACTTACTAAATTATGACTGTCATTTTGTGGAGTTCTGTTAAGGAGGGGACGTTTTTAGTTTATTTCATCTCCTTCTGGAGTGTTGGGGATTTTTTTCCTGGAGAACTAGCAAATGTAGTTAGATTGGTATGCGAGAGTGTACATGGCAAGGTAAAGGTGCCCTAATTAAATGTGCAAGTGAGGAAGTAGGCTTAGAAGTTTTGGGCTGGTTATTATTACCCTTTTATTTGATTTACCATGATTTTAGGGCAAATTAAAATAAGGAAACATAATAGGATGAGAATATTGACTGTACTTCACAGGAAGTCTTAATAATATTAAACATTATCACTATCAATGCTGTAACAGTAGCAGTAGTAGGAGGTTAGGTTTGAGTTTTATTACAGCAGAATGTCTGGGCCTTTGTTTGACCTTGACTCTGTCAGTATGTGTTCCTGCTCCGTGCATGATGATGCTCAGACTTTTCAGGTGTAACTCTATCTTGGAAGAAGAGTTTGGTTCAAGTAGAATACTAAGAATGTTTTTATTATATATAATTATATAATTATATTTCTGTCTGCTAAAATTAGGTAACGAGGTAGAAAAGTATTGGCTGTTACTTTCTTTGATGTTTATATCTTAGTCTTTCACAAATCAGAATGGAAAACCAAACCTGGACAAGGTTTGCAATTTGTATAAATTTAATTTGAGCTTTAGGCAGAAAGAAGATGTAAAATTACATACCAAAAAGCTATGAGAGTCTCTTGGTGTTTCTTCAGTTTTAGTGGTAGAGAAAAAGCATCTTAATTGTTTCCATTGGTATTTTTGTCTCAAATTCTGCTGCTGCCCTCTCTGCGTATGGTGATTATAAAAAGATAACTAGGACTTCAGCTTCCATCAGAACCAGACCAGTTTCTCACTGAAAATGGAGAACAAAATACAAAACTCATCCTCTTAAACATATCAAGGTCATGAGGATAGTGAGAATTGCTGGGCTTCATCTGGAAAGGGAGAGGAACCTCCGGAGAAGTAAACTCAGCACTTTGGGATATTTTCCCTTGGATGCATGAGCCACCTGGAAGACTTAGAGGTCGGGCTGTTAATTTTTGTCAACTTGAACTCGTAGTGAGTAAAAATTTGAGACATGGAGGACAGTGGAAGTGGGAGGTTGGGGGCTGAGACTGCAGAAGGACTACATTGTAGGAGTAAGGGTAACCTATAAATAAACCGGATATCCTGGATTATGGCAGAGCTTTGAAGATTTTGGATAGGTGCAAATAAATTTTAAATCTTGAACTAGGATTACATAGATCCATGATTCTAAATCTCTGAAATCCTTCAAATCTTTGGAAGAAGATCGTATCATTGTAGGCCTCACATTATCTGTGAATTGTTTTAAAATTCAGTGTCTGACAGCCAAAAGCAACTGGATACATGAAGAAAGAAGGTACCAAGTGAGAAATAGCAGAGACACTAAACAAAAGAAGTAGACCTACAGGGGCTGCAGATGCTGACACTATCAGACAGATCATGAAAGTTATGCTTAATACGCTCAAGGAGATAAAACCAAGCTTGCAATTGGAATTGGAAGCTATAAATGTGGCATGGTGTATTTGAATAAAACCTAGTGATGAAACATAGAAATTCTAAAACTAAAAAATGCAAGAGTTCAAGGGATAGTTAGGTAAGGTTCTAGTCAGGACATCAGAAACCAATCTGGGTACTTCAGAGGGGATTAAAACGCACTGGTCACATGTAAGCAAGGCTGAAAACAAAGTGGGGGCTAGAGGAGAGGAGAAAGAGGAGGCTGGTATGCTCCGCGTCCACAAACTGCAGCCTCCCCTTCCATTACTGGAGAGGCTGCACCCGGTTCTCCATCTGCTGTTGTGCTGCGTGGACTGGAGCTAAACTTTCTGATAGGTTCTGTCTCTGGGCTGCTGAAGTTTGGAATGACTCCACTCCGATTGTCACTGGCAGCTGCCAACAGCTACCACCGTGCTGAAATCTGGGCTTGCTGTTGATCGCCCAGAGTGTCTCTGGTTGACAAAGACGTCTGCCTGGGAAATGTCGTTGGTAGGAAGCTGACTTCAGGAAAACAGCAGGCTGTGGGAGGGTGGGAACGTGTGTGTGAGGCGGGCAGAAGGGGCTGAACAGCCTCCGCACGTAGCCAGCACCGCCCTTCATTTCGGCTGTTAAGCACCTCCACCGCCTTCTGTACATAATTAAATTTCTACAGGACAGTAACGGTATTATGCAAATTTAACTATGTTTCACACGAAACAAAGTTTCACATTCTCCCCTAAAAGGGGAGAAACAAAGTTTTACCAGTTATCTTTACCCTTATTAATGTTAATTCTTTTAGTTTCTTCACAATCCTTCTTAGATATTCTGTAACCTGAAGATTAAACTATAAAATTTGCTACTACCAGCACTACTTGAATAATATAATAGGAGACAAGAGGATGAAAAATTAGTTGCTGTGTACAGAGGTATACAGAACAAGCAATAAAGCAAATTTACATAAATTGATAATATTTTTGTAACTGTAGGTCTTGAAGCTGTAGGTGGTATTTATAACTTCTTGCTTTATTTGATTTTTCTCTGTTCCTGGCCATCATGTCAGAGCTCCGGGTTTTTCACATAATGGGTATTCTACATTCTGAAACAGTCTGAGTCCATAGCAGTTGTGTTGCTTAATCCTTACTATTAGACAAAAGTTTTAAGAGGCAACCCAGAGGGTTCCTGAGGTAGTCTTCGTTGACTACAATTAAGCGATTATGTGACGGCAATCCAGTATCCCTGTAACTGTCTGCAATGGACCCCGGAAATTTGCAGGGGTTATATTCCTAGAGCACCCATGAATAACTGAATTTCAGATATGGTCAGAAAAATGTGTATAAATGCCTGTTTTTATAGTTTAAATACTAAATTTGCTATGTCTCTGCAGTTATTTAATAAAATACTGTATAGAGTACTGTAATAATTTAATAAAAATACAATGCAGTATTTCGACCCTCTGGAGTGTTTTAAACTTCTGGCACAAGGGTTCTTTGCTAGAAACCTTAGAAGATGCAGTGCATTTGGAGGCATCTTAGGGATCTTAGAGCTTTAAGAACACTCGAAGTATCCAAATGCAGTACGGTGATCTGTTACAATGCGGAACGCTGATGTATCCGATGGGTTACAGGGCAGCAACCAATCAGCAGCCAAGAGAACTGAATAACGCTCTCGGATTGGCTACTTGCACCTCCCCCCGCAAATTGCAGAGAATATTTGCAGTTTCCACAAAACTGCAGGGGTTTCTGTGAACAACTGTTGCAGTGTGAAGAAAAATCCATCGACGGCTGAGGTCACAAACTCTGAAGCACGACTTCACGGGGTTATGCCAATCACCCCAGTCAGTACAGGAAGCTGTTTGTGGTTGATGTCATAGGAATCCAAGGTCTGTAGGTCTCCAGCTCATCATCTAACACTTTGGAACCATTTATGTGCCCTCGTAGAAGCATTCTGTCCTTGTGAATCAAAAGCTCTAAGTCAGCATAGCTCAAGATTTTGGGGTCAAGAATAAAAATTCTGTGATAGAGCAACTGTATAGTACTGAGAGGAAGGAGTCCTATTGTATCCCTTATTTCTAGACCCGTGTGTTCTGGCAGTGGGAGAAATAATATCTCATGGTGACAACTGGCTCAGAGTGTACGCTGCATCGCACATGATGGCCCCTCAACCTCTGCATGACTCGTCTCCCACTTGTCCTGCTGAGTCTTGGTAGGCCATTTTATTATTTTTTCAACCAGACGCTTCTGGATGATTTGGTACCTGGGAAGACCTATGAATTTTATATTCATGGTCCCATTGCTGCATTTCTTTTGTTGTGAAATGAGTTTCTTATTTAGATGTGTTATATTGTAAGGGATATAGTGTCCTAGGAAGAATTCAGATTCATGTGCTCAGAAGAAGTGTATGTTTTAGTAAGGATAACTCGCGGGTGCTTCCATTGCAGAAGGGAGCCAATGTGATTAATTAGCTACCAGGTAGCGGGTGTGTCCCAGGATGCACCATTGGTGGCTCAGTCTGTGTCTTTAGCAGGTTAGGTACTCAACAGTAGCAGCTGGAAGTTCAAGTTAGTGATTGGAGTTTCATGTAACGGAGTGCCT